AATCTTCTGATATTTTGATTTTGTGTAGGCTGCTTCAAACTTAGCAGGTTTTCATCTTCCCATCGCTTCATACAAATTTTTGTTTTCGTATCTCAAGAAAATCGTCATAGTTCAACCTTCACGATTGTCTTCTAATTATCTTCAATGCTGCGCTTCCCTTGGCTTCACGCACGAAATATTCAAAGTGAAGCTTCACACACGGAAAAATGTTTCAAAATGCGCAATTTTTCTTTAAAGTCTTCAGGAAGCTTAGTTTATTTGTGCTCCAACAAGCTGAATCTGAGTCCAAATCTTCTGGTATTTTGATTTTTTATAGGCTGCAATAGTGAATTATTCGCTCCGCTCGGTTGCTTTCAACTAAATATTCAAACTTGGGAGCTTTTTCATTTTCCAATTGCTTCATACAAATTTTTATCTTCTTCGTATCTCAGTCATAGTTCAACCTGCACGATTTTCGTCTAATTATCTTTAACGCTGCGCTTCCCTTGGCTTCACGCACGAAGTACTCAGAGTGAAGCTTCAGACAAGGAAAAAATTTTTTAAATACGCAATTTTTCTTTAGTCTTCAGGAAGCTTAGCTTGTTCGTGACTCAACAAGCTGAAACTGAGTCTAACTTCTGATATTGTGATTTTTGTAGGCTACAATAGCAGCACTGGATCTAGGGGGGCTACAGCCCCGGGCCTCACGATGTCTTATTCAAAAATTCGAGTTTTATAACTAGTGCACCTGAAAAAACTCCATCAATGGCATTATCCTCGTTATCAAAACATTCCCAGAAACCATTTTACAATTATAATAATAACCCAATCGATCGGGCAAAGGTTATACTTAGTGGCGCTGGTCTGCGTTAAAATAGGATTTTGCAATTTTCAAATGCGCATTTGTTGCGCATTTGTAACCCTTTCAAGAAGAAGACCTTTATCAGAAGCTTGATTGTCACGGATATTTTTATTATTCAAGGTAACCATATCCTTTTCCGATTAAACGTTTGTGACTGTTAATCGTATGGGTTCGCATTATGTTATTTCACTTGGCGTAAAATAATGCAAAATATATGTAAAATTCATGCGATCTGTTTCGCGATGTCATTAAAACTACATTTGAGCTGAGTGAACAATAACAGTTATTGTCTAGTAATTCCATCACGATATTATCCGGAAATTGTTCTATGAAAAAAAGTACGTCACTATTGGTAAGTGGGAGTAGGTATTATGTTGCAGGTAAAGGAAATTCATCAGGAAATCGGTTGCAAAGTCACTTGTAAGGAATGTATGATTAACCGTATGAATATGTATGGTTTTTACAATGCTCTTGAGCTAGATTAGTTAATTTTGATTGTTGTTTTCTATTCCTTGCGCTCGCTTGATGTTAAAACGAATTGGCGACCTTAAGATAGTTAAACTTGGACTTGGGATCTGTCTGGAAACCATCTACAATCTGTTACAAGTGTATGAACATTGAAATGTATTTGGATTTTTCCAACAGCTTCCTATCAGCATTTGAACTCTTATTGAGCCCAATTCATGGCATTCCACATAAGTATAGTATCTATCCATTAGGGTGTAGTAAAAGCGAAAATTCTCTAAAATCTTCCACTTTTTTCACGAAGGAAGCAAAAAGCATATCGAGTCAAGCTTTTGAGCTCTGACGGTGCAAGATACTCGTGCCTGCGAAACGCCAGGAAGAAATTCTTTTGAGGACGATCTAAAAGTCCGAAAAGCTTACTAGTTTCAAACGACAGAAAATGTTTTTCCATGAATATCATCGTCCAAATTAGATGCTCAGCGAAAATTTCCAGTAGTTTTAAGATTTGCGTACTTCTATACTTAAAACCGGTTTCCAGACACTTGAAAATATATCATCAGCAATTAGCTGCTTAGCTTTTTCATAAATTCTTCAAACTCATCAATAAAGCGATGTTTGTGTACATGCTCACGATCTATAGTGCTTGTTATTTTTGCTAACATTATTCGCGATTGCAAAGCATAAAATACAACATTCAGACCCTCGATGTTTATTTTCAAGCAATTAGTTTGACTTTTTGGCAACGTTTAAATATTTATTAATTATATTGTAAAGTGTTTACAAAGTTTGGTGCTTTTAATTAAACGATGAATACACTTTGATTGACGCTCTTACGCAATTGAAGGGCAACGATCAATTATTTAACAAATTTTTTGGAAGGTAATTTGGGAACATTACGAAATGGAGAAAGAGCCTGATCGTGACTTTGGTTGGGGTCACGTCCAAGGCAGCCTTTCAAATTTAACCTTAGAATAGTCATAGTTTGTAAATTACCTTTCGGGATAATCAACGGTAATAACTTTTAAATAAAGTTACTAGAATTTGTTGCAAAATCGTCATTATGAGTATTTGAAAGATTGATGTTGTTTAGTCTTTTTTGTATTAATTATTCATCGATTTTTTTTTAGTTTTTTGGTTAAGAGTGCTACTTAGTTCAATTTGATTTGATTCCTCAGTGGTATAAATACCATTTGCCTTCTACACTTTAATATGTATATTATTACAAAAAACTGAACTCCCTGTATTTTGCTTAAAGTTAATATTTTAGTTTGGAAATTAGTCGGCTTTTCAAATTACTTTTCTCTAATTGAAACATTTTTAAAGCCATTTGTATCGTTGCTGATGGCCAAATTATACAAATGACTTTAAAAAATATCTCGAATTTTTTTGGGTGGTGTTATACGGGGCAAAACACAGGAAGTTTCTCCTGACTTAATATTGAATCAATCTCATAATCTGAGTAAAAGTCCTAAAATAACATATTCTTAATTAGGCTTCAATACAGCCTTCAAGAATTAGAATTTTGGTTATTTTTTTGCAATCATTGTTTGAAGAGTTAGTGATTTTGGGTGAAAATACGAAATTTGAGAAGAATATCTCAAAAACTTCAAGCGTTTCAATCAAAAAAATCAAATTACCATTTTAATTTTTAAACCTCGTACCTCGTAGGAAAAGCGTTTATAAACGTGTGATTAATAAACTCTTCTACTGGTTATTTCTTTCACATCCCTGTGTTCCCCGATTGAGAAATTAATCTAAAAACGATTCTTGTTGCCCATGTTAAAGTTTGCTCGACTTTACTGAATGTTTTTAAAGGATCTGTTGGTCATTCATTCAATTTTTATGAAATATTTTTGTCTGCTTTCAAGTGGAGTAATTACTACTTTGCAAAAAAAGTTTAAATTTTAAACAAATGACACTTTACTCTTTGTAACTGTAGGAAGCAGATGGTATTAATATTTTTGATAAAACAAATTGAATTAAATAACACTCATAACTAAAAAAAATCGAAATAATTACATAGTACCAAAAGTGACTAAACAACGTCAATCTAGCAAATACTCATAGCATCAGACAAAATCTTTTTTGTCCGATACAATTATATTTATTTTCATATAGAAAAGTGTTCCTTAAGTCCAAAACATTGACTAAAACTGTTGCAATTGCATAAGGCGTTCTTATATTTGCTTTTGTAAAACGTTTCAGCCTGATTTTTCCAGTTGCTGCAATGCAAGCGAGTTTTACGCCATTACCCTAAAAAACAAACCTGCATTTTCAGAGAAACATGATTTATCGCGCTTTTCAGTTATATGTAAATTTCCTGCACATTTAGCACGAACGCAAAGACATTGACTCAATAATTTTCGCTTGTGCAAAAAACTGAAATCTTTGCATAAAATATTGTTTACTTGAAAGCTGGGGTAATTATAGCGTATTCATAACACCGAAATCGGTAAACAAGCAGTTATAATTCAATTAGCTTACTGGTAATATTGAAATTTAATTACAGCTGCTGCTGACACACATATTAACATTTTAAACTACTGCAGTTTGACTAAAATCTGGTCATTTTGTATTACAAAATGTAAAAATAAATTATATTTTACATCTTCATTTTTCATAAATGTCGTTCTAGGCCGCGTGCATACATAATAGCATTACAAGGCTGTCTGGGTTCACTTTCTGAACATTGTTTTTCAAAATGTAACATGGTTATACAACTTTATTATCTTGCAAATTGCTCGATTGAGCAATACAGTTAATTCGCCAGAAATGAACTTTTTTGGCTTGGTCGAAATTCATTTACTTTTAAAAAGGTCATCAATCGAATTTTTAAACCACGTTTTCTTACGCTTTTATCACTTTCAAGGTACTATTCCGGGTGTTTTTTAATAAATGTCCGATATTTCACATAGTGATTCGCCAGATATTTTGAAGATAGAAGTCCATATTCCCAAGAACCCGCAAGGTGTTAGTTATGAAGCCACAGGACCTGAAAGAATTAACTTAAATTTTTGTTTGTTTTAAATTATTTTTGAAACAATTAGAATTTGAAATGTTTGAAACAATTTGGATGAAACTTGTCGCTTGGCGGATTTGTAGCATGAGGAACTTAAATATAATGCTTGTTTTGGTGTCTACATGTAATTTTCTTTTTTGAAAGATCATAACTTTTTCGCGCATGAATTTATTAAATTGTTCGGCAAAAAATTATGTCTGCGTAAAAAAGGTATTTCTATTAAAAATAGCTTCAATCAACCGTTTTCGAGATCTTTTTATCTCAAGTAAACGACAAATCTGGTACAAATGTGCGAAAAAAAATGTTAATTCAAAGCAATCGACGCAAGTTTCTCTTGTCACAAAACCCCCAGATACCAAGTTTAGTCCAAATATCAAAAAATTAAATTAATCGTTCAACACTCTGTATGCCGATAAATAAAGCCTTGCGACCCCAGTTTTTTCTTAAAAATACCTGAAGAATCGTCCTGGAAAGTATCGGACACTTATTCAAAAACACCCGGCATATTCGCTTAAAATTTGAAGAACTTTTCAATGTGACAAATTGGCGAAATATTGGAATTAATGTTATTAATTTTCAAAAAAATCTATATAAACATGCAACACCAACAAGCGTTTTAGGTTCTTCTGGCATAAAGCCTGGACGCTCTTCAACTATTCTTTGCTAAATGCTTACCGATTCCAAACGTGATTGGGCAGATCTTTTGAGCCATTCCCAAAAGAGATCCTAAACTTATTGAGGGATCCAAATATGCTGTTATCTGAACGTCGCCTGTCGAGTTTGGGAGGAGGTGAGATCTGACTGGCTGATATGATCAGAGTTGGGGCTGAGCGATTGCCTGCAAATTTGTAAAAAATATCTCATCTCTCAAACTATCGGCTAGCGCAAGTAAATTACACCTGCCATAAATCAGTCGGCAAATCTGGCTTTTTTAAAGTTCGATGTCTATGGTTTATACATGTTTATATGAAATGGGCTCGGGCTTGGTTTACAAGAAAAAAAATATGGCAGTAATAAAGCAAAAACTCTAATTCAGGTTGTTTTGCATTTGGGCTGATAACAAATCAGCGTAATTAGTTTAGAGTGTTCGGAAAATATTTAGATTACTGCGAATTTTCAGTTAGTGACTTGTGCATAAACACGTTGAAATTGCAGGATTTCAGTCGCAACCTGAACACAGTCAGAATCTGCAAAAAAACATCCTTACCTAAGAGTTTTTGTCGCTGATGTCCAAGTTTAGGATGTTTCAGGTTCTCGTTTTCGATCTTGAGATCATCCAACAATTTCTGACTCAACATCTCCTGCGTTCGGTCTTCAACGGTGTTGCTGTTGGTCATCATGCAATGTACAGTTCTTGGAATTTACCGTTGCCGTATGAAAACTGTTTTATTTAAATGCTAGTATACTTTATAAAAATCACAGCTGGTGAGTAAGCGCTTAATTCAAATATCACAGATTGACCTTAGTTGTTTTTAGATAATAGGAACTGATTTAACGTGACGATCTTCTAGTTGTTTCTACCTGCAAAAGAAGAGAAACGTACATGAAAGTAATTGTTTTGAAACTGACTAATTAAATTGCTTCCAACTGATTTTATTTTTATTTAGCCGTAGATAATGAATATTGATGTCAAAAATTCTTCGAGTTTCTTCAGGCTGTTTCTTGAGTGAAATAAAATATTAATAGTTTAGATAATTGTCTATTTTTAAACAGATTTATGTTGCATTTGAAAAAAAATCTTAACTATTTGGTTCTAACTGAAGCGCTAACATATCCGGGTTAGGACTAATTAAACAAACGTGGTACTCGAAAGACTCGATCGAAAAGTTCTAATCATTAATCCGATGTTGTTCACGGTTTCCGAGATATATAATTGAAAATGTTCAATAATTTTCCAATAACGTAAATTCAATTGAAGCGGAATAAATAAGTCTCGAAGCGTGGCTATCAGAAACATTCTTATGATTTTTCACATATTTGTCGTGAAATTAGGAAAATACTAATTAGGAAAATACAGTTTACAAAACAGGCCATAGAAAAAGTTCTTTCGACTGGATATTTGTAACAATTTTTGCGATATAAACGGTTTTATACTTCAAATACTTCTAAACCGTTTACATTTTTGCTTCTATCTTTTCAGAGGATAAAAATTGTAATAAAACCTAACTGGTGAAAGATGTTTACGACGTTTTTCAACATCTTTTTTCAGTTAAAATCATCAAAAATCCCTCGAAAAATTAATTAAAAATTTCTAATACAAGTGATTTTTTAATTTTCAAATCCTCTAAGCTTTGATTTTTGCTTCTGCTTGTTATCTGGTAGCAAAATCATTAAGTATGGCGCAAAAAACTAAATTTTCATTCTGATAATTGTTGATGTAAAATATATATTATTTATTTTTGCTCTATCGCAATGTTATTTTTTAAGATTTTTTTACAGTGAGAAGCTTTATTGAACCAAAACTAAAGCGCAAATGGGCGTCAAAAATCCATAATTAAATTTCTTTATAAAATATACCTATCTGAAACAGTCGTGAGTTACTCATTTAACAGGAAAACATGTTCACAAAATTTAATTTTTCTAAACCAACTAAAACCTAAGTTTCTCACTAAATGTTCAGCGTCTAAGTATATGGCGATTTAAAAGTGATTATTAATTTAATAGATTATTGATGACCTGAACCAACCAAGTTCAATGAAAAACATTTATTTGTGATTTAGTGGTTTAAGCAAGTAGAACAATTAATTAATATCGGTAATCGCCTGCATCCTTATCGCCATCAAAGATCATCAGAGTGCCCGAAAACATTTTTTTTGCACAAGTGAATTGAGGACGTCCAAATAATGAATCACTTGATACCAAAAAGAGTTTATTAGCACGCCTGACTAATTATTTTTAGAATGGCTTTCGTACTTGGAAATGTAAATGCTAAGTAACATTTTTTTGCAAACATTAACAAAATGCGTTACGTGTTTTAGCGGTGCTCGTGTATTTTTAACCGTCTGAGTTTAATGTTTTAATTCATTCAAGAATGGGAACTCTTCCTTATTGTTTTTTGCCTTAAAATACACGGTTTGTGCAAAAAACGAGTTCGATAATCACAGGAAAAGTCGACTTATTCAAACAAATCAGCAGAGATGAAAAGTGTCTGTAATTGTTGCTAATTCCAGTCTATTTGTTGCAACTCATCTGAACTTACAATAAACTCTTTGTTGCACATGCGGAAGGTTTTTTGATGTTAAAATACATCCGTTTATAGTTTTAATGTATTTTATATTACGTTATCTGAGATTAGTAACCTAGAAATCCTATTGAGTAACGGCTAGATAATTAAACATAGAAAAAAATGCCGTTAACTTCTAAACAATAATTTGATTTGATCATTGACTGCTAAAGGCTATTGCCACAGGATATACCGCAATTGGTGCCAAAAACAATGAAGAGCAACATTCCCCATTTTGATACGGTAGTTAGGAAGTTATTATTTCGTTAAGCCTAATTTTAAAATTGGCATCAATTACCGAGTATCTAGTGCATCAAGAATCGCCAACACTTATAATAAATTTGTTGTTATGAGCACTTTTATCGAACAAATGCAGCCAAGGTTTTTAAATGGTTTAATTAACAATTTGTTTTATAAATATGGAAAATGCTCTTTTTTTTAAGGAGTCCAGCCCGGGTAACAGTTCTAAAGGTAAAGCCAAGAGATTAGGGAACAAGAAAGTTTCGCTATGTTGAATGAAAATTTACGCTGTTTTATAGCTTTGTTACATTTTTTCTGCACATTCTTAACGCGTCCTCAATAATATACCGAATATATGCACATGATGTATGGAACCCAATTTAATTTATATTCCTTGTAAACTTTAGTTCCCCGATTTTTAACACTTGATGACATTTTAACCTTTGATTCGATATTGGCATGCTTTTAATGAATTGTACAATAGTATCTTGAGGATGCTGATAAGTCTCCAGATGATTAGGTTGCAATGATTGATTACAAATTTTATTAAATTAACAAATGTCCATATTTGAAATTTACTTGTCGAGTTATGGTTGTTTCGGCGACTTTTGGACTATTGCAATATTTTATAACACTTCATGTAATGGGAATCTTGTTAGGTGGAAGTGAAACGAATTTTAAGGCGCACGCAAAAATTAATTTTTGAACAAAATGCTTCAAATTCTTTACGATTTTTATTGCTTAGTCAAACACGCTCTAGACTAGACCATTCTGATCCGAAATAATCCAAAATTTCGGAGGATTTTCAGCAGCTTCTTAGGAGCATTTTATGACTGTATCTTTTTCGGCTTCTATCAATCTATCCTGTAATTGATTTGGTCTTCTATATCTGAATGAAAAGTTGAAGCAGGATTTTATGTTAATTACACTTTCAAGGCAATCAGTTGGACAATCCCGTGCTTATATTTGGTTTGCGTTCAGTAGATTCTACGTATATCTATTTAGAAATCGGCGAAAGCTAACATTTGTATAAGTTTTTGCCGGTTTTTGCCAAATCAGCCATCAATATTGTGGCTTTATTCAAATACCTACATACCAGAAAAGTAATTTTTAATATTTGCTTTCCCAACAGTACCTAGC